CTCACATGGATCCACACCCTCCGTTAGAGAAGGAAAACTACAGCTTCAGTCACTGAAATCAGGTGAAACTGACAGAAGTAATAATAAATGAACATGTACTGAACATCATGACGTTGCTTTTGAATCGTGCTTCAACAGAAATATTAAAAAACAATCAAAGCAGCCTGATGGGAGCCGTGAACTAGCATGTAGCTGAACAACCCTCTGAGCCAATCACTGCCATCAGGTGTTCCTGTAACTCTCAGTCAGACTTGTGCACCTGTTGACAGGTGTTCTGGACCCCTGCTCATCAGCAAAGGCCTCTCATTGGTCCACTGCTCATCAGCAAAGGCCTCTCATTGGTCCACTGCTCATCAGCAAAGGCCTCTCATTGGTCCACTGCTCATCAGCAAAGGCATCTAGTTTGTTTAATTATTCTTTTCAAACACAGTTCAAAAGCAGCGTCTTATTTCACTAAATTCTAATTTAGCACATGTTTATTTATTATGACTTTTCCAGTTTCTAGTGATGTGAGGGACTGTTGTGGATTCTGTGTTTTCCTTAATGAAGACATCTGAGGACGACTGGATGATGAGTTCTAGCTGTGTTCCCCATCACACACTTCTGACAGAGTTAAATACTCCCAACTTTGTTTTTAGTCCATCCATCATCTCTACACCTTCATCCTCACCAGGGTCATGGGGGGCGGAGCCTATCCCAGCTGACTCAGGGTGAAGGCAGGTTCACCTGGACAGGTAACCAGTCTATCACAGGGCTACACTTAGAGACAGACAACCAAGCACACTCACATTCACACCTACGGACAATTTACAATCACCAATTAACCTCAGCATGTTTCTGGACTGTGGGAGGAAGCCGGAGAACCCGGAGACGAACCGGCGACCTTCTAGCTGTGAGGCGACGGTGCTAACCACCGAGACACCTGCAGCCTTTTGTTTTTAGTCATGCTGCTACAATTAGATTTTAAGGCTTGAGGTCTGTGCTTTCCTCCTGCTGCATTACTGTCCAAACAAGTCAGATAAATTTACTCATATCATCGTTTGTGAAGAGAGCAACAGAGCCAACTGGCAGCGTGAGACGGAGGTCTCACTTGTGAGCGAGTTTTCTGCTTCCTAACGTTGTGAATATTCAGCGTGGCAGTAAAATGACTGCGCTTTGACACGTCTCCAGAGTTCAGCGCTCTCCATCAACAACACGTTGTTTATCCTCCAACTCCTGGCGCAAAACGTATAATCTGACTTCTGAGGTCAGCCTGGACGGCATCAGTTCTAAAGTACGGCGTGCTTACCGCTACGTCTTCTTTCTTAAATAAGGTTAAATTGAAAATGTGTGAAGATTGGAAAACCAGCTCCAGACTCACACCCCTGGTGGTTTTTAATCTCATTAAATCAGTGATAAAACATTCCAACATATCACTGATGATGAAATAAAGATGTGCGTGTCGACTTCACAGCTCTCGGTGGTTAATTAAAGTTAAGATCAAGAGGCAGCAGAGCTCGAACTGCTGGCGTCCAGTGGACTCTCTGGACAAACAGGACTTCCCTGCAGTAAGTGAAGGTCGCTCAAGACAGATGTGAGCAGCTGGAGAGTTTGTAGAAGTCAGTTTCTTTGCATCAAGACTCAGTCAGTCCAGAACGAACACCATGCATCTGTAAATGGATTATATTCCCTCTCTCCCTGTTAAAAGCCATAATTCTGCCTCTTATTCTGATAGAGATGTGAGCTGAGCTCCTGGTACCGTTCCACCCAGAAAAGGAAAAACTCACTTTCCTCTGAAATAACTTGAGCCTGTCAAAGGTAACTGGCATTCACTTCTCTCTCTTTCCCATTTATCAGCGCAGCCACTTGGTTTTCAGCTGAGAACAATGTTGTGACGCTGATTATTTAGTTAAACACCCTTTGAGGTGATCTCAGCTGAGCTGCCACCGTCTGGAGCAGCAGCTCTTGACAGAAACCAGCTTTAGATGAGTTAACTGGTGTTAAAGCCGCGAGTCGTCCGAGTCAGAGTGAATTTGTGGTTGACCAGTAGGTTGCGTCTGGCTGCAAACAATGTCAGCATGTGATACAGCAGGAAGACGTGGTGCTGGAGACAGAAACGATAGAAAATACTGCCGAGTTCTGCACACTTTACATGTTTAGTGTGAGTGCTGAGTCCTGTTATTAAACCACTGAGCAATGATCAAGCCTTTATTTGTCGCTCTGCTATCAGACACATCTTCTAGCTGCTAACGAGCTTCCTGCATGTCTCCGCTGGGACGTTGAACCTCTCCTCCTTCGTGATGACCTGCACCTTGGATGGCTTCCTGCCCTCATTCTGGTCTTGATGGGATTCAGGTCTGGACTGGCAGGCCGCTCATATTGTTTTCTGTTAACCATTTCTTTGCTGCTTTCGCTGATCTGCCCAAGGCTACGCTGTTTCTGCAGCCGCCTGTGTTTTTCTGCAGCATCTTAATGGAGTTCTGTTTTCTCACTGGACGACCGCGGACAAGGTTGTGTGGTCCACTGGTTGAACAGCACCCCAAAGCTCTGCTCTCCAGCACCATGCTGACCCTGCCTGGTGCTCTCTGGAGCCTGAATGCTTCACCCAGATAAAGGCACGACCCTATCCAGGTGAGCTGCTGTAAAGGCCATGTGTATAAATATGTATGTGGATAGATGGATGGATGGATGGATGGATGGATGGATAGATGGATAGATAGATAGATAGATAGATAGATAGATAGATAGATAGATAGATAGATAGATAGATGGATGGATGGATGGATGGATGGATGGATAGATGGATAGATAGATAGATAGATAGATAGATAGATAGATAGATGGATAGATGGATGGATAGATGTAATGCGTTCTTTAATTCTAATACATATTATTTTACAACTGAGTCAGTGAACAGACATAACGTGAACTTAAACAACAGAAATGTTTGTTTCTATATTTATCTGCATTTTCATCTGTCTTCTGCATTCACAGATTAGTACAAACTCAAAGTGCATCTAAGGCTGTTCTATTCAACATTTTAAGCGTTTTTGTCTTAAAACTCATTGGTGCACACTTTGCACACAGCTGTGCTTCTGTCCACGCTGCCATCCAGATGTTTTTTAAACAAATGATGCTCCGCCCAGCCGGCCAAGCATCACACTCTCGTCTTCCATCGCTGTTCACCAAACTTTCTTGTGCGCTGACATCATTTGATGCATCCTGAGCATCTTCTTTGCAGCTGGCAAACGACCTTTAGGTGCATTAGCGCCACCTGCCGGCTGCAGTGTGAGCATCGTGTTGCTGATGTGCCAGGAATTAGGGAACTGAGAAAGGTGCGATTAAATCCAGGCACAGAGAAGCTCACCTAGGCTACAAATTGCTGCAACACTAGACTCTGCTGAATATTTCACCAAAAGCATTTTAAATTCCTTCCCAGTGTTGCTGACCGCCTGCTCAGAGGGAGTCCAAAGGCAGCACTGGATTGTTGGGTTCTCTGCTTTACATTTGTACGGCCTTCACTTTACCATGCTAGGCGCTGTGAGAGGACACATGTTGAGAACTGCGCTGTACAAGTAAAACTGAACTGAATATTATCCATAGACTTTAAACTGACTAATCTTCGAAATGCTGGAAAATGCTGTTGAAATGGCTCACAGGTCTTATTCTGTAAAACCTAGTAGTTCATGGGAGTGACTCCAGTTACATACGTGCATATGCAGCCCTCTGAAGGCAATATGGTTTTGGTCGTGGTTGCTGGACATGGCCACCCTGATCACCCTGGGCCACCCTGGGCCACCCTGACCACCCTGGGTCACCCTGATCACTCTGGGCCACCCTGATCACCCTGGGCCACCCTGGGCCACTGTGGGCCACACTGACCACCCTGGGTCACCCTGATCACCCTGGGCCACTCTGGGCCACTGTGGGCCACCCTGACCACCTTGGGCCACCCTGACCACTCTGGGTCACCCTGGGTCACCCTGACCACTCTGGACCACCCTGCGTCACCCTGGCCACCCTGGGTCACCCTGACCACTCTGGGCCACCCTGACCACTTTGGGCCACCCTGGGTCACCCTGACCACTCTGGGCCACCCTGGGCCAACCCAGGCCACCCTGGTCACCCTGGGTCACCCTGACCACCCTGACCACCCTGGGCCACCCTGGGCCACCCTGACTACCCTAGGTCACCCTGGGCCACCCTGGGTCACGCTGGCCACCCTGGGTCACCCTGGGTCACCCTGGGTCACCCTGACCACCTTGGGTCACGCTGGCCACCCTGGGCCACCCTGGGTCACCCTGGGTCACCCTGACCACCTTGGGTCACGCTGGCCACCCTGGGTCACGCTGGCCACCCTGGGCCACCCTGGGTCACCCTGGGTCACCCTGACCACCTTGGGTCACGCTGGCCACCCTGGGCCACCCCTTGGGTCCACCTCTGGGTGTCTTCCTGGGGCTGCTCAGATTAAAATGACTCAGATTCACCAGGAATGGCTGTTTTGAGCCAATGAGTGAGGCGACACTGTCCAGGAGTGGTCCACCGTCTGAATGGAGACATGTGCACTTATTGACAGCTGTGGAGGCAAATGCAGGAGAAAGAGGGTTTAGACAGGATTAGCTGCATGTTTTTCAATAACATACTAACCAGTTTCTGTCACTTCTTAATGTCATTTCCAGCCAAGAGAAACATGTTGATCAAATAAACTCTCTACATACATTCTAAATGTGGCCTGGATGATTCTGAGCTCCACCCCTCTGCGCATGTTCACAGTCAGCTGACTGCCGTCACTGGCACCAGTGGACGGGTTAAAACATCCACAAGAGAAGTTAAAAACTAAGCTTTCTGAGAATTTGCAGATTGCAGGTCCGTTGACATGAGGCTCAGCACGACTGAATCCACTTTCAGCCGGATCCACCTGGTGTCCGTTAGAGGGCGACACTGAGGCGCGTAAAGGGGGCCGGCTGAGCCAGTCCCAGGCAGGCTGGAGTGCTACTGAGCCGGGCAGAGCAGACAGACACTGAGGAGGCTGGTGGAGGAGGAAGGCTGCCTCATGCCGCCGGGCTTTACCGGGAATTTAAAAAAAGAGAGAAAATCAATCTGACGGTTCCGGAAGGAGGAATTATTACGCAGCAAAATGCATCTTCTGTGCGTGTGGATGCTGATGGCGACTGTGCAGGTAAAATATGCATATATATTTACAAAATGCTCCTTTTTCCAGCGGGTAGGATGGAGCTGCAGCAGAGCGGAGTGATGAGGAGGAGATGGAGGAGCGATGTGCGGGGAAGGGAGGACAATGCAGCCGAAGCTCCGCATCCGCGTAGATTCGCTGATTTTTAACGATTCTCTGCTGTTCCGGTGAAACACGACCCGACAGCCGGTGTCCACAAAACCTACCGAGGTTTTCACTAAAAAAATAAGAAAATAAAAACGTAGCTGCGCCGCTGCACGCCGGTAATCAGTCACACAAACAAGAGGATCTGCATTTGCTGCGTGACGGTTCGTGCGTTTTTTGTTTTTTTGACGAAAGCTGCAGCCGACAGGAGTCCGAGCGGGAGGCTGGGGACGTCCGTCCAGCCCGGTGACGGGCTGCGGCTCCTCGCACACCAGTCATGTCGCTTTTGTGCTAAAATAACGCGCCGGACTTGTGGCTGGTCTGGAATCAGCTCATCGACCGAATACACGAACCTGCGCGTTTTTAAAATATTGTCATGTCGTCCAATAAAGATGGCAGTTTTTATTTGTCCTCTCACACCTCCTCCGACATGAAGCGCGGCGGAGGGACACCGGGGCTTTAGGAGTCGTGTCTGATCCTTTTTTTGGTTCGGCTCCCGGTCGGTTGAACAGCGCGGAGCTGCGTTGGTCGGAGCGCGCATTCGGTCCTGCGCCGCTCCGCCGCGGTGTGGCCGTTCTCTGTCTGTGGGAGCTGCAGTCATTGTGCTCGGTCCAGACTAATGCTGTTTATGTGTCGACACTTGGCCTGTGTGCGTGGGAACACGCAGCGTTTTGTGTGGAAGTGGACGTGGTGTCAGTGAGATGAAGCGCTGCAGCAGCCTGGCTGGCTTCAGGCGACTGGAGAGAAAGCAGGACATCTCCAAGAGGAGGACACAGTCCACCCTGCTGCCCATTCCCACAACTTTTAAAGGATCACACCAACGTTGGAAAGCTTTTCACACACAGCCAGTGTGTTGCTGACCAGGCTGTGGATCTCAGGCGCTTTCTGGGCGTTTTTCTTTGCTCATGTCTCATTTTGACTCCTTTTCACTGCAATGTGAAGCTCTGCTCCTCCGTGGCCACAGCACAGGCAGCTACAACGACATAAAGCACAAAAAAGGAGATTATAGGAACATCTGAATATGTACAACATTTTCCAAACGCCCACAGGTGCTCCTGATACGGAAAGAAAAAAATCACCCATTTGCATCTCTTCCTCCTCATTCTACAAAAACATGCATTAGTAGCAGTGCTGGATGTGTCCTCCACCACCCCGCTCCATGGTGCGCTGCTGCTGATGGGGTTTTGCTTCCACTCCCTCTGATTGTTTTCTCTGTGTGAGGCTGAGACACAGCCTGCAGTTCATCCAGACAGGCCTCGACTCCTGACCGGAAACAGTTTAATATCAGAGATTTACCACCAGAAGGTTGAACATCCAGCGATTCTTCCTGTCGTGGCCGTTTCTGAGGTTCAGAGGGTTAATGGACTCGTCAGCCCGTCACCAGCAGCGCTGAGAGGCCACGAGACCGATGGTCCAAAATGATGCTTTGTTGTTTTTTGGAAAGCGGTCAGCGGCGGTGTTCAGGATCATTTGGATTAAATCAGCAGCACTCTGGCACGCTGTGTGTGTGTGTGTGTGTGTGTGTGTGTGTGTGTGTGTGTGTGAGCCGTCGGCTGGATTTAATGAAGGCTCAGAGGAGGATCCTCCATGTGCACAAATCAATAGTGAGGACAGAGCGGTGCCAACGGGTCAGAGGTCAGGTCCTAAAATAAACCCATCAGGACGCCTCCCCCCAAACCAGCAGGGTCAGCACTCGCTCAGGCTTACCTGAAATCCCCTGAAAGCCTTTGATTCGCCCGCTTTTGTTGCTTCGTAGCTGCAGTTTGTAGCTTTTCATCGAAGCTTTGATGATGTACCTGAAGGCTGCTGGGCGTGGGTCTGGGGCGGAGGTCAGGCTTGGTGGCACGGCTGATGGTTTAGTTCAGCGTCACCGTGGGATGGTTTACAGGCGAGTAGAGAAACCAGCGAAAGGCAGGAGTTTGTGCAGATAGTGATCCTTGGTGTTCCTCACAGACTCAGCTACAGCGGGAGGAAGGCGTGTTGGGTGGAAGGCTGATAAAGGTTTGATGTTATCTGCTGAGTCACAAGTGATGAAGACACTCAGAAGGCTGCCTCCCTCCTGATCAGGCCCTCTGTCTGCTGACCTGGCGGGGGATGGGGGGCCCTGATGCTCAGTAGTTCTCATTTTGAATCATGCGTGTTATGTTTGCTTGGCTCTCAGCAAAGCCTGAAAAGCTAAGCTTACTGGAAACTTTGAAGTTACAGCATAGCTGAACTGCATTTCATGTGTGGCAGAAAGACTCATAATTACCAAACAAGTGAGGAAGCAGAAGTCCTGATGGCTTCAGATCCCGTTTGTCACTGCACAGGAGTTTTTCTAGATAAGTTCATCATTTAACAGCGACCTCTCTTCTGAATGCTGTAGTTTACATGAGGCTAGAGCGTGGACATTTTAAACAATGTGCTCGTAGACGGGGACGCCAAACATGAGGAGTCTGTTTTCACTGCAGGCGTCTCTAATGTGACTCTCATGCGGCCACACAGCTGCCAAACAGGCGGTCGAGTTCTCAAACGGTCTCTTCAAGGAACTCAAGTAAGGTCCGCAGGGCCGTTTGTGGACGTGAGGGGTCGTGACGCATCCAAGCGTCGGACGCATGATGGACATGCGGCCAGGCAGTGTTTAGGATGATTGGCAGGTGCTCTCAAACAGGAACCAGGACAGGCAGCACTCTCTCCAACAAACGCTGGCTGCACCTGATTGGATGAACTCTTAGGCTGCCTGCTCCTGGATCTAAAACTGGAGGAATATAGCTCACCCAAATGTGTTTTCTGAAAACATTCGTGGTGAAGAATAAGCCATGCAGTTGCTGAATCTGTCTACAATTGAGATTGGCATTGATTAGTGTAAAAGCTTTTCTGGAGTTTCCGGAGCCGCTGAGTCATGCTGGACGCCTGTGATTGGTCTGGCTGGTAAAATGATGAAAACAGGACTAGACAGTTAATCAGAAGCAATAAGAAAATAGTTTCATACAGTTTAAATGAATCAGATGCAAACAGCTGTGAAAGTTGCAACAGTTGAGTTTTATGAAATGTCCCTTTATCAGAGTGAACGCTGCGTGGCCTTGTGGCGACGTCATCAGTCCACACCTATGCTTTGTGTGTGAGTCGGGCGCTGGCCTAGCATATTCACTTCACCCTGCTTTCTTTGCACCAAAGAGAATAAGAGTGATGGTGAAGCGGAGGTAACTGTTCATGTATGAAGAGAAGGTTGCTGTACAACCGGGCTTGATGCGGTTGGAGTGTGTTTAATGAACGACGAGCAGTTTGTGATGTCCCAACGTTGTGTGGACATGAGTTCCGTTTTCTCCACGACCTCAATCGAGCTACGCGGACTCAAACCATCACAAAGTACACGATGAACAGGCAAAGTTTAGTCGCGTGATCAAAGCCCAGACGGGCTCACAAATAGCCTGTTGTGTGCCAGTTCCCCCTCCCTGGGCTGCTGTGCCACGACACAGCTCGACTCCCACCTCCACCAGCTCTGACTCCCACCTCCACCAGCTCTGACTCCCACCTCCACCAGCTCTGACTCCCACCTCCACCAGCTCTGACTCCCACCTCCACCAGCTCTGCTACATGTGCTGCAGGCTGTGTTGCAAACAACTGAATTAGAGCCTCGCTGCTGGACAAACTACGTGATGACACAGTTTCTAAACTACCTCCAGCATTTCTTCTGTCTCATGATTTGTAAAAAGCTTTCGCTTCATTGCATACAGAATCTTCTGGTGCTGATAGGTCGGTGACGGACCAACATCAGTCCACCGGTACTCCTCACACAGACTTTTTAGGGGCACTTGGTGTTCCTTTCACAGTACTGTAGACCTGCTACAGCTCGGCGGTCGGTGTTAGCGGTAGCAGTGCTCTTAGCTGCCATTTCTCTCTGTTGCGTGTTGGCTGGTGAGTGCTGGTGGGTGTCCGGGGATGGGGGTGGGAGTCACGCTAAAAAAGAAGTTTTGGGAATGGCAGGTGAGCGCTGCATGCAGAAATGCTTTTTTCCCAGCAAGTTATTTTTTTCTGATTTCAAAGACATAATAGCAGCAGCAGCCCTGAGTCAGTGATGTATTAGTCCAGGTGTTTCCAGCCATGTGTTAAGGAGAACCAAACAAAGCCTGCAGGCCTCCAGCAGCTTACAGTTTCTCCTCTAATAGAAATCAGCAGGTGGAGTCTGTGATGGGAATCAAAATCTGCACAAATGTTGGTCGTCAGACAATAAATCTGAACCTCGGTGGGTTTTTTCTTCCGTTTTTCAGCATTTTATATAACAAGTAAAAAAAATTAGAAGCTCATTAGATAATTGAAATAATCCTGAGTTTCTGCTCCAGTAGCAGCGCATGTAGGTCACTGTGTGTGTGTCGGCGCTGCACCAGTGCCCACGTCGCACTTGTCAGCTGAGAGACTCGGTTTATTCTAACAGGAGCTTCAGTGGCAGCCTGATTAAATGAAATAAACTGTCCGGGGTTTAGCTCTCAGTACGACCGACTTCCTTTCTTCCTCTCGTCCTTTTGATCGTCTTTTCTCTGACGACATAATCTGAGCCAGGTGAGAGTTCCTGTCATGAACGTCTGGCCAACAGATCAGTGTGCGCATGAAGCCGGTTGCCAGTCGTTCGGCACTTCTTGTCTTGCTAAAGCATGTGCTGATGGGATCCCTGCCTCTAATAAAGAGGTCAGGCTGGCAGCGCTCCTCGCTCCAAGCAGAACTTAATAGGGTCTCAGCAGAGTTTAGAGGGACTTCAAGCCAAGCTTCACATGCATACAGAATAACAGACCAGGAGGCAGCCTGTCTCTCTGCTGCAGTAAACCTCCGGCCTTTTAAGTTTCACATTTTCCCTAAATGACAGTATCATCCAGCAGAAAGTCATTCCTCCACATCCTTGCTGCCGCATCCCTTGTCACATACCTGCTGTGGCTGTTGAGCCCACAAAATGTGTCGTCACACCTGGGCCTCGATAACCGACCTCCACTGATGCAGATGCAGCTCAAGGTGCCGTGTGAAACAATAAACAAGCTACAAACTAAATTGTTCTATCAGTTAATCTGCTGAGTGCCGCTCTCATGCTGAACAGTCCATTTGACTCCATGCAGTTTATCGCTTGAGAAGGTTCAGAAGGTGTTAGCGTCACAGCTGAACCTGTCGTGTCGGTGGTTCTACAAACTCAGGTCATTCTGGTCTGACAGTCGTGCTAGAGATGCCGACTCGTGCTAGAGATGCTGATTCGTGCTAGAGATGCTGATTCGTGCTAGAGATGCTGAGTCGTGCTAGAGATGCTGAGTCGTGCTAGAGATGCTGACTCGTGCTAATGCTCCATCCAGTGAAAATGAAACCAAAGCTTCACTTTAAACAGGCTGATTACAAATCAAATCAAATTTCTGACAACTGGATGGTTGTCCTGAGTTGTTCAGTTCAGTACTTCCTCTATAAATGCATTGATTTAAATGACATTTAAATTGACGTAAAGCTTTCTCTGTTTTTATAATTTAATGTAGGTCTAGGTGTGAAAATGAAACCAGTAAAATCTGGCATTTTCTAACCAGAATTGTTGGCCAGTACTCTTCAATCAGTGAACTAATTGGTTGACTAGAGCTCAAATGAATAATAATAATAATAATAATAATAATGATGATTGTATTTGTGAGCACATTCTTGACACCCATGGTCGCTTAATTTTTAATAATAATTTTTAAAAACATATTCCATGCACAATATATCAAATCAACACAAAAAACGTTTTTTTCTTCCTATAAAACGAAAGCTTTTCCAGGACTGACCTACAGGAGGCGTCTGTCTGATAGGAAACCGTTAGCTCTGATTTGATGGGTTTAAGTTAAACTTTATTCGTCGTTGAATTGCTGACGTGCAGGCTGCTGATGCACACAGCAAAATGAGTGAAGAACCAAGATGTGACTGCAAACACAGACGCAGTTGTGTGGAAACATTTAAGATCAGATCAGATCAGATCTGCCTTTGTTTTTCTCACAGTGGAGAAAGTCTCCGTGACAGGAGGATGTCATCAAAACCCGACTAGTCAGCAGTCGTTGTCTGGACAGGAGGCAGCAGGACCAATGAGTTTAAGTTAACACGGCGGAGCTCTGTGTGATGAACTATTTTGGATCATTTCACAGCTCACACCACGTTAGAACATAACTTTGACCACTCATTTACAAGATGACCCTGATCAGACTGGACAGGTTCTTCTTTCCAAGCCGACCGGGTCCAGTCCTCCCATCACCACATGTTGCACACTGCAAATAATCTGGGACTTGCCAAGATTTAAAATCTTATTTTTAGACACGAAAGATAATTTGGCTTGTTTTAAAGGTTATTTACTCATTTTTAGTCCTTGATTTTACAGCACTATCTTAAATTGAGCATTAAAAATCTTATTTCAAGATTTCTTATCCAGTAAAATGTTCTTGCTGCATGGACGGATACTTCCACTGGTTTTAAGTCTTCTTCTGTTTTGCAGTGCGCAGTCCTTTTATTCCTGCTCTGTCTCCACTGTTGTCATTATTACCAGGAAGCAGCAGCTCAGTGGACCAGCTACGGTTTAAACCTCAGCACTAAATGTTCCTGCCCATCTCTGACCTCCTCTTTTGTCATATTCATATTATTCATATTGGAACAGAACCATGCTCTCCTCTGGCTGGACAGGTCTGTGTCCTCTGCCTTTGTTTCCTCACTGCCACTTTTTGCCTGAACTCCAAATGTCAGCGCCGAAGCCCGTTTCAGCAGAAACGCAGCCTCATAGCGAGTCTGGCTCTGTGTGTTTACGTCCTGATGCTAATAGAGGAAGAGATGAAAGCCAGGCGTGCTAAATCCGCCCCTCCACCCACCCAGCGCCTCCAAACACGCCGGGACGGACGTGAGGGTTTAAAGTTTTTGGGTTAAGTGGAAGCAAATCACAGAGCCCCGCATGGCTTCATTACTTTAATCAGAGAAGAGCCCCCCCTCCGTTCACACACCAACAACCCACAACAGACGCCTTCTGCTGCTGCTCGGCGTGGACCAGCAGAAGCATGAGTGTATGTGGGACAGGAGGTGGAGGGGTTCATGTCGGGCCGACGCTCAGCAACAGGAGAGACAAACGTCTAGACGCTAATTATCATCAGAATTAATTGACCCAGTTGTCTGCTGCTCTTCATGTGATTAATAATGCTCTCTGGGTTTGGACTGGTGCTGAACTGGATTTCATTTTCCTTTGATGCACAACATTTTTTATTTTATTTTTTCTCTTCACTGTTGCAAGACAAGACGACACACCCCGTTAAGAAAGTGTGAAAAATGAGACGGTGATTGGTCTGTGCTAATTGCTTCTGTCCTTGTTCTGGTTTCCCCGTTTTAATGTTCAGCCCAGCGGTGTCCGTCACTCCGTATCAAAGCCTGCCGCCCACCCAGGAAGGAAATTAAGATTTGTCGTAATTACTTATTTGAACATTGCTGCTACTTTTTTCTGGTGTTCTGAATGAGCTCCGTCAAGGCCGGCGTCTGCAGGGCAACAGCGAGATGCAGGCAAATGTTGGAATATTCTTTGTTCCTTCTTTATCTCTCCCGTCTTCCCTCTGCAGGTCGGTGCTGTGGGCGGGGAGGCCGAGCGGTCGTCGTCAAGCAAGCAGGGGTCGTTGCCATGCACGAGGGGCTTTACACAGGAGGAATACATCATCGAAATGGACCAAGAGCTGGCAAAGGGACAGGCTGTCTTCAACGGTCAGTACACACACACAGGGAGGCCTGGAGCAGGGACAGCTCCAGTAATAATCCCCTGCTGCTGGGTGGGGGTTGTTTAAGAGTCCTGCTGATATTTGAGCCATAATGGAGCTTCAAGAGGACTGACCTTTACGGAGACTGAGTGTGGATTAGACTGACGCACTGAGCCGATGCTGTCCTTCTGTTGGGGGAACGCAGCCTGCGCTGGTCCCATTACTCGCTGATTGTGATTGGCTGTGTTTTCTTGTTTTGTAAAAAACAGGAGTTGGATGGTGGTCTCTGCTGGTTCAGAGTTTAGATCCAAACACAAGTCTTCGTCTCTAAGCCGGCGAAGGGTGAAGCTAAATATTTGTTCTCACACTGGCTGCTTGGATGTGGGTGGATAACCGAGAGGCTCCAGCCGCAGTCTAAACATAAGGAGGCGTAAATCTGCATCAGCGTTGTGGAGGATTTTCACCTTCGGGGCCTTTGAGCTGATCAGCTGAAACCTTTACCAGAGCTGTGTGCAGCCAAAGGGAAGTCTTGGTTGGCTTAGAATGCATCTCCTCTGTAAGCAGCTGATGGTTGGTGAGGAAGCAAAGATTTCTGAGAGCAGAACTAGCGGGTGGAACATGACACATGATGGGCTGCCATGTTGGCTGTGGAGCTGTGATATGCAAACTGCTGCTGACCAAGTTTACTCTCAACTTTTTGGCCGTTCGTTTGAACAAAGTTCAACCACGGCGATGACTTTGTGGTTTATGTGGTAGCTCCTGACGCTGGTCCAGTTCAACATGGTGACAACTGCTGCCGCTGCCAAGAACCACGGATCGGTTCTGATAGGGTACTGATGTGGTGCTTTTCTCCTTGTAAAAGTAATGATGAATGAGAATCTGATGAGATGAGAGCCAGTCCACCAGTCGAGCTGAGCAGCCAGAACCTTTACCCGGGTCAGGATCAGTAAGGCTCCAGGGCTCCACCATGAGGACGGGTTCAGTCTGTAAGGACAGCACCAGCCATGCCTTCCCTCTGTTCTTACTTATAACATGAAGAATTCAGTCAGAAACTGCACAGCTGACGTGACACATTTATAAAAAACACACAAACTTAACTCAGTTCCATTTTATTTGTATAGCGCATATTTACAACAAGTCATCTCATAGCGCTTCACAAAGACAGAAACACCCAACAATCCAAACATCTGGATTCCCGATAAGCTTCAGCAGTCTGCTGGTGGGACGGAACCGAAAACCTCCGACAGAACCAGGCTCAGGGAGGGACGGCCATCTGCCTCCACCGGTTGGGTGGATGTAGGATGAATTCTAACATTTAGTTTACAGTTAAACAAGTTATTAGAAGTGATTGTCCTTTTGTAACAGGAGGCATCATGGTGGGGCAGCAGGATGCAGAAGGTGAGGCCAGCGGCTGTAGTTCAGGAGCTCCAGATCCAGAGACATCCACAGAGAGAGCAGGCGCAGGAGAACCTCGGGGGAGTCACAGAGTTAGTCATATGTAATGGTGATAGGCAACTATAGAAACATATACATACACATATATATAAAGAGGAGAGGAGAGGAGCCCAGTGCATCATGGGAATCCACCGGCAGTCTAACCCTATAGCAGCATCACTAAGGGACAGCTCAGATGACTCCCAGCAGCCCTAACTATGAGCTTTATCAAACAGGAACGTTTTTAACCTGATCTTAAAGGTAGAGAGGGTGTCCGCCTCCAGAACCCAAACTGGGAGCTGATTCCATCAGACAGGAGCTGATAGCTGAAGGCTCTGCCTCCCATTCTGCTTCTAGAAACTCTGGGAACCACCAGTAGACCTGCAGTCTGAGAGCGAAGGGCTCTGCTAGGATAATATGGAACAATCATGTCTTTAAGATACGATGGAGCTGAGATAAAAGATGAAAACTCACATTGAACAGCTGAAGACACCTTCTGTAGATCTTATAGATGGATCAGAGACAGTTTGTAGTGTCACAGTAATGCCGCTTATCAAGACGTCCATCTGATGCTAAAACCAGCTCACATTAGTCCTGGTGTACCGAAGCTACCAAGTGCAGGAAGATCTGAGAGCTTCTAAACTGAACAGCTCATCGCTCGAGGACAAAGATGTTTCCTTCAAGTGTTCCTGTCTGGATTTGAGGGCAGACGAAGCAGACACATCATTTCAGTCAGCTGTTGTCCATATTTCTACAAGTCACTGCCTCTTGGTTTCCACAACATGTCTGCAGGCCTTCAGAACCCTGAACGGGTCACCCTGGTCTGCAGCAGCGTGTTAACATGGGTCACAGAGTGGCCCGGTGCTGTTCACCTGACGAAGCCGGATCAATCAGCGTGATATTCCTCTGTGCTGTGTGTAGCAGAGCGGCTGTGTGATCAGTATTGAGCGGGCCGAGGTATCAGCAGCCGGCGGGTCGATGAGCAGCGTTCACGCTGAGGCGAGGCGCTGGAGCGGGTCGGCTTCTTCATCGGCAGCGTAGCTGTTCTGGATGCATCTGCATTTGCTTTGGATCAGTTGTTGTTTATTCACCTTTAAACTCTATAAATATATCAAACGTGTCTCCAGGGTGGAGCCAGCAGCTGGAGGTCCGTCACCCATTGGTGCCGTGGGTCCCTGTTCTGTTCCCAGTTGGACCAACTCTGTTCTTTGCTCTGTTTCCACACGTTTCCTGTTTGTCTCTACTGCTCTCTGCTTTTTTTTTTTCTCAACCATCTAAACCACTGTCAGTTTGTGGACCTTTGTTGCGTCTGTCATGTTTTCTGCTCAGTGTGGGTAAATCCTTCACGTCACCATAAAGTCCTGCTCCAGCGTTACCATGGCAACGTGGAGAAAAGTCCAAAACGCACGATTATAATGAATATCAAAGAAAAACAAGAAAGAAAACAAGTTTAATTTCTTTGATTATTTATTTTACAAAGTCTGAATACACCTGGAACCAACATGTTCCCACAGATATGAGCGAACGCTGGAAACAAGCGGCGGCGCCACCTGCTGCTGACGTGTTGCTGCTGCGTGTTCAATGAGCTCCTACACGTGTGCTCTGAGGAAACACGGCCTGCAGTTCAGCCAGAAGCCTCAGACTGGTTGTGTCTGTCAGCGACGGAGGAGCAGATGATGTTTTGTCTGATTCGTGAACATGATTTATTTTTGACAAGTGTTTAAATGAGACGCTCAGAATGAAGTGATTTTTCTGAAATATCGCAATTTTCTGCTCAGATTCGGTTATTTTTCAGCACGTCACACACGATTACTTCAAGGACCGGTGAAAGATGAAAGTCCCTCAACTTTAGCAGTTTCTGGCACTGAGACATGGTGCATTTCTGGCAATCTTTAAAAGATAAAATGCTTTTCAAAGCAGGCTGTGGAGTTCAGAGGGTTAAGGGCAAAATGCCAGAAAATAATCTTAAGAAACGTCTCCATTGTGAGCGCCTTTACAATCTGTACAACCCTTGATCTTACCAAGAAATTAGTCCGAGATAAAGCTGCTAAAACCGCTTTGGATGCGGTTTAAATCATGTCGTACTGAGTCAGAGGGCAGAAGTTGTTCCCCACCGACATGCTGCTCTGCTTTATGTTTGTACGTGTCTGTAATGGAAGTGATGCTGACAGTTAATATCTCTTCACAGATGTCTTGTCTGGCGGCTGCCTCTGGTTATTCTCTCCATACGGAACGAGCTCAGACCTGGAAGTCTGTAAATTAGCATGTCACGATGCGAGAACCGTAGGCACTGTGAGCGCCGCGGCGTGCAGAGGTGGTTTAGCTCCATTCTGCCCTGATGCGGGTCAGTCGGGCCTCTGAGAGCAGGAGGCTTCCAGTCTCCACGTCCACTGCAGAGCCGAACAGGGCGGCCCGCTCCGTGGACAGACTTTCCTCTGCCCCAATCAAATCAGTTCCTGTTGTGTTTTTGTGATTTTATTTTGAGGCAGCGTATGAAACGGGGCTGAACAGCCAAACGAGCTCTTCTGACCACATCCCAACAATAACACGGCCTGGAGATGGCGTGCATGAGTGTGAGTGGCATCACATGCTTGTGTGCTTCAGTGGACATGTGTGAAGTGTAACAAGGCAGCAGTGAGTGAAGCCGACAGAGCGGCTGCAGGAACAAGGAGAGAGTGTGTTCCAGTGTGTGTGTGTGTGTGTGTGTGTGTGTAGGTGTAGGTGAAGGCTTTAGGAAACACAGGACCAGGCTGTGTTTATACAGCCTAACAGATACTAATTGCTGCTTCGTATGCAGCCTGGCTGCCGGAAAGATGAAGAGAGAAAGATTTGTGCTGGTCATTGTCGTTCCACCATCAAAACTTCCAGAGCTGTTAGAAGAAAACTCTCCGTTCACCCACATCAACCCGAACAAACCACAAGCTGTCCTGGGAGAAAACCAATCAGGCCGAAGAGCCTGGTTGGCTTCTGCAGAACACGTCTGAGTTTGTATAAACTTTAATCACTAAAAATAGTTTAAAGTATAAATTGTGAAGACCATGTGTTGCCATGGTGCTACCTCTGTCTTCCTCCTTCACCAGTGGCCCTTTCATTGTTCTGCAGCTTTCAGCAGACTTTCTGTTCTGTCTCTGCTGGGAGTGACTGTTAGTCAGCTCCCTGTCAGAACTAGTCCTGTTGGGTTCTCATATGAGCTTAGAAAAACATCAGCACGCATCAGAGGCACACAGTCGTCATCACAATCACG